TAAAGCACAATATAACACAGACAATAGCCTTTCTCTAATGACTATTGGATCAAGGATCAGTTATTTATTACTGATCTCAACATGGGCAGCTTGGAGGAGCAAAACACAATTAAGTTGGTTTACTGCTCGCACACCTTCACACAAACCCCTTCAGTGGCAAAACCTTCTCTGCTCTGTAACAAACACAATTTGAGGGTGGAGAAAAGCACAGTATAGTGTTCACAGCCGTTAAACCGTTAAGTACAGCTGATTTAGTCCATCAAAGACATTCAGAACTTCACACGTAAACACAACAGGTCAACCCAGTGTGGTCCTTCATTCTCAGGATAGTGACAAACCCAACACAGGGCCTGCTTTTTTGGGGCTTGACTGGTTTATCTGCCACATCTGCTACTGTGAAAAACACTACAGACAGGAAGCCACCTGTTTGCTCCACGTGACGACACACCCATCAGTCCTATATGAAACACAAACATTTTACATTGCATTTATTTGGCTAATGTCTTATTGCAAACTGGCTGACATTCTGAGAAAGCATGGTCAGACAGCGGCTGGAGCATTTCGCAGTCAAAAGCCTTACTGAAGGGTCTAATGGTGAAACCACTCAACCAACTCAGGGATTTGAACAAACAACCTTCTGATCACAAGCACAGTAATCTAACCCACTAAGCCACACACCAACAAACAACTTTGGACAGAACAAGCTGATGTCTTCCGCATCCAGAAAGATCTCATCAACACCAGGAATTTATTACAAACAAAGCAGATTCTGCATGTCCTCCCAGGCCTGAGTCATCTTAACATCGGACAGTATGTGTAGTTCATTTTAGGGCTGCCGTGTTTAGTTGATGTCGAATATTTTAAATCGATGCATCATTTTTTTTTATTTTATTATCATTACCATTATGATTTCTAAAATACTTCAAAACTTTCATATCACTATGTAATAATTTTTTGTTCAATAAAAACAAAAAAGGTGGTTTTAAACTCTGCAAAGTCCGATGGCATACTACAGGGGAACAGGCGTTATGCACAAGCTGCTGAAGAGAAAACATACAGACGCTATTCGGGAACGCCAAAATAAGCAAATCTATTTATGCTTATTAAATTACCATTAGTACAGAGAGCTTTTTTTAATATCTTGTGTCCTTGTAGCTGCTAAATACAGTCATTATTAAAGGCATAAAGCCATGAAGTTGCCTGCTACCTTAGAATCTCCATTGAATAAGTGTTTGAAAAATGTTTAGGCTAAAATCTGGGCTTATTCTACGTGGATTGACGGTGCCAGTGTGTGTTCGTGTGCATTGGGCTTGTTGGGACTCGTAAACTAAAACTGAAACGAAAAATGACACTAAATAAAAGAAAATAATTTGTCAACTGAAAAAAAATGAAAACTATATTTACAAAAAGAAAAAAAAAAACGTCAGACTTTTATCATCAAAAGCAGCGCCACACCACCTTGTTCATGCACAATATCTATTCTTTTAGAAGACGTTGTGGCTGCTGATCTGTCCCTTTCTTGACTTCAGCGCTTATCGCTTCCATGATTTACCGAAACAGTCGCACGTGGCGTGTTCCGCTAACCAAGTTTACTAAGCTTAAGGATACACCAGATTTATACAGATTACTAGCCCTAGTTCATTCCATCCTTCGGTCCAGCTGTTGTCCTAAAACTGTTTGTCTAGCAGCTAAATATAAATCCACACGTAGATTCAGTAACTGATAAGCACCTTCGGGGTAAATTTCAGGGCTGTGCCTCTGGGACATTCAGCATCCCATCTAAAGGCTTAAAGAAAGAATTCAACCTGACAGAACTAACTCCAAGAAAGCAAATTCAGTTTCAGTTATTCATAGCCAGACCAAACGGCGGAAGTGCCGGTGTATTCTGGAGGCCCCCTGATGAGACATTTCCTTACACAATCTTCAGCTTCAGCCAAAGTCCTTTCATCTCCCTGCAGATCTCCAGCATCTGGCCTCAGCGACGGCTCTGAGCTCCACCATGAGCAGGACTTCCCTTGGCGAGAAGGGCAAGGCTCATGGGACCCACTGCCAAGCCGATGCCTCAACCTACGCTCCCTAAAACCAGCTCCTAGTCTCTGTGGGGAAATCCAGGACCTCTGGATTTCACTGAACCAGATCTATTACTGGCACTAGTTAATTTCTCCAGTCAGCAAGTGTGATCATTTCAGTCAGTTCAAGAGAAAAAGCAAATGTGCACTTTCAGCCTCAGGGAGTGTGTCCCCTGAAATGCTGGCACAGGTGATCACTACGCTAAAAAGTGAAAGTAGTGTTCTTGCACCCGAGCCTTGCAGAAACATGATGAGCACAGGCACAAGACCCCCACACTGGAGGTGACGAGAGTTCCTTTGTTCTTAGGAAATGAGAAACCATAAAGTCATAGTAAAGTGTTTCCCAAGGAAATCCACCAATCCGCACCACTAAAGCATATACTCCCAGCCAATAAGCAGCAGGCACACAAACGGCTTAGTTTTGCTGGGAGCTGGCTCTGTGCCTGCCCTCACAGTGTAGAGGGTGGAGGTGTTTACATGCAGGTCCAGAGGGCTGTAATCCAGGTTCTAGTGGTGTTTTTTTTTTTTTTTTTTTTTAATAATTCCTTTAAGCCTGCTCAGTCAAGTAAGAAATTGCTTGAATTTCTTGATGGGAAAGTCTTAGGTAGTTTTAGATTGATCTCCAGCACACAGGTCTCGCCCCGTGGTTATAAACTGCTTTCTCTCACCCCAAATCTTCTCCCCCCTGCGACAGCAGCATTTCAATGGCTGGAGGTTATGGTGAGGTGTGAATATTCTGTAATGCATCAAGTAAAAAAAGAATCCAAGAAACAATGCGTCGCATTGTCTGTGAGCCCCGAACTTTCACGAGCGTGGCCTGTCCCGTGCCATTACCACCCTACTTCATTTTCACCGCTCACACGCCGTGCTGTATGTCCTTCAGTGTGGACTCACCCTCACTCCCCCTGCCCGCCCCTGCCAGACTCCTCACATGCAAATCCTAGCACAGAACCAAGAATGCAAATCGATGAATGACTCCGGCTCGAGTCCTGCACCGCACCAGCCCATTTTAAGTGCTTCCATTAAACAGAATGGGGCACTTAAGCTTGCATTAAAACAACAAAGGCCGGTCACATGACCGGCACCTAATGACCATGTCTGTCCGCCAGCACAGAGAGGTGTGCCAGGCGCAATTTCAGAGAAAAAGAAATGGCATGTAACAGCGCTGACCCGAAATGAGGGCTCGTGTTCATCAACGGCACAGCATGGTAAGCTGCACAAAGGACCCTTATGACCCAGCAAATTCTCAAGGCCCACGTCCTCTTTGGAAAGACTGTGACTCTGCGCTCACTGACAAACGTACAGCGGGAAATCCCGTCTGAAACCCACTGTGAAGCAGAAAGCCTCAGGGTTGTGCTACGTACATGCCATCACACTTCTGTTTGGATGTGAGTGGGACCCAAGGCGAGCGAAGCACGAAATGCCCAGGTATTATAAAACACTCGAGGATATGCACCTTTCTCGAAGCATCCTTTGATAAACAAACTAGGCAGGAGCCGCAGAGAGTCTCAGCCCCGGAAAGCTGCCGGGACTCAGTGTCCTATAAGTGTCACAGCATGATCGGGCTGGGGACCACCTGTTTCAGAAGCCACTGAGGTTGTGGGAGGGTGGAAGGCGACCCAAATCCAAGCAGAGGGTGCGGCAAACCTGCCCTCAGTGACTCACCACCTCAGCCTGGCCCACATCTTTAATGAACCCAGGGTACACCTTGAATTCCCACAACACTGACTGTGCAAGCAGATACTGAAAATGATATAATTAACATTACTCAGTTCCATCCATCCATCCTTCTCCTCCTTGGTCTCGCTAGGGGTGGGGGGATGGGCATCACAGGCAGAAGAGAACAGAAGGCTGAAGTGCACCCTCCAGGCATACAGGACACACACACACACACAAACACACACACACTTGTGAATTAAGGGGAATTTAAAGTTGGCCGAAGTGAGATTCTAACCCTGAACTCCTGAGGTGTGAGATTGCAGTGGTATCCACCGAGCCACCAAGTGGAACTAGCTGTAAAAATTTACAAAAGAAGTGTTTCACTGCACAGTTTAACATTTAGTGTGTGTGCGGAGTCATTCTGTGTGTTTGGTGTATCTGTACGTCATGCTGTTAACCCCAGCAGGAGGTGTCAAAATACGTGGGGTAAATTCATTAGGCTGCTGCCTGTGCTTTTTTTCAGTGCAAACACCACAAGGCATTGTTTGTTCCCTGCCTTACAACAAATTGTTTTGCGAAAACTGCGCGGCGCGGGACGGTGCAGGTCTGGGTTCAGTTCTGCAAAGTTCACGTTGAAGCAAACTCGGCGCCGGGGAGAGCAGGAGGAAACGGCGTGTTGTGTATGAAACACAGGCGTGCCTTGGCAAGAGGAAGTGCACAGAATAGTGGGCTGCAGGCTGCTTAAGTACCCAGTCACTAACATCGCTGCGGAACCAAGGGAGTCGCGTTTGCTGGACCCACCGAATAATGATACAAATCTATAGATAATATTGGCTACTTTGGTTTTATTACAACGAACGGAACTAAATGATAACAGTGGTAAATAAAGGTGAACGTTCAATCTGAGAAATAAGTTCCCGTACTGTGCCGTTTTTACCCTAAATGGTTAAGCTCAGAGGGATTCAAACCTCTCGTAGTTGTTAATATTAACTGTGGAGTAGCACATCGGGATACTGAAAGTGAATTAGGAAGTGCAGCGCCGGGGTAATGTCCGCAGTCGCATCGAGAGTCTTCGGCATCGATCTAGGATCCGTCAGATTAGTCATTATTCTTAAATTGCGGACACCGAATTTATGGTCTGTTGCCCGATGTACAGTGCCCGGTGCCACATGCCTTTGTGGGACGCAGCTCGCTTCCGCGCACAAGCGTTCGTGGTGGCGGAAATCAGCGCCGAACTCCGCACGGCGAACGACCCGGGGGCGCTATGCCTACCTCGGGATTCGATGCTGGAGAAACGGGGAGCCGCCGCCACAGGGCAGTCCCGGCGCTGTGCTCTCCGTCCTCCGCGCTCCCGGTGCTGGGCGCTCCGCTGTCCGCGCTCCCGGCGCTGAGCTGTCCGTGCTGCGCTCCCGGTGCTCAGCTCTATGCGCTCTCCGTGCGCTCCTTGCTGTCTGTCTCTCTCTCCGCTCTCTCTTTCCGGGCTGGCTGTTCTTAAACGTCATTGTCTCAGCCCTGCAGGTCCGGACACGGCCGTGCGCGTCAGGGGCGGCTCATAACTATAAAAGGAATGGGCTGCGTGCCGGGGGACGGACCGGCGTGTCGCTTACCGGCCTGGCGTGTCATTCAACGACTTGGCGTGTCGCTTACTAGTCTGCAGTGTCACTAAGCGCTCCGATTTACCTTTTGTTGGTTCTTGCTTTAATTTTCGAGGTGGTTCTTTGCTCCATCCATTCCAATTTGTTTTTTTTTTTTAAGGAAAACAAGACGCTATATCGAAACTATCTAGAAAATTTCACTCAATTTCATATCATTTTCATAAAATTAGAAGTATAAAACATTTTTTCAAACCACCATAATGCTTATTGAACATCAGATTTGTTTAAAACCTTTAATTCGTCGTTGTGGACGTCAATAATAATTAAATAATATGTGCAATTTTCTCAGCCCCAGAGGGCGCGGATCTTCACGTGTGTCCTTACAACTAACACAGGCTGCTTTGCAGTGAAGACGCTGGGTTTTAAGGCCTTTTTTATATTAGGTGTATCTCTCTTGGGTATCGAAAAGAAACACCTATCTTTATATACGGAGAAGTGGAAACAAATAAGTTATAAATAGGATGTTTAAATTGCAAAAGCGCCAGTGGTTCCCGTTTCTCTATAATATGCAATAGTGGAAGATTTAGTAATAATGGCTTAACAATTACTTACAATGACCCAATCGGGGCTTTGATATAATTGCACCAGGTATTCAGTAGCTTCTGACTTTGTTTTGTAGAAGTGCTGCAGTAGGCTATACTTAGGCTAATGATTTCAAACTTCACGTGAAATAACGTGTAGGTTTATCAGCATTTCACGTCTGGGATTTTCCTGACAAATCCAGCGTTACAATTACGTTATGAGATGCCTTAATGGTCTATTTCCACGTAGGTTTAACGTGAGTCCGTAAACGCAGCCAGCGAGTGTGACGAAGCACTGTCTTGTATTTGGCAGCTCAGCCCGTGGAAGAAAACCTGAATTTGAGATGTTTTTTTTTTTTTAATTTTCACTGAATGTTTTACTAGGCAGATGAAAATCAGCTGCCCATATTGCACTTTAACAGCTTATGACGCGAGACCTTCGGCGCCTATAACCCTGTACTTCTGTAAGTCACAGCCCTTGTCTGGCTAGGTAGGGAAACCTTTTCATAGTCAAGGAAGGCAGCCGCTTCCACGTTTGCGCGTCTTTTCAGCGTACATTACCCCCCACAGTCCCCCAACAGAGTGATCGCTGAGGTCGGTAAAACGTTTCACCAGACCTAACGAATAAGTCTCGCCTGTCTCTAAAATGCAGCGTGTTATTTTAAAATGCGAGTTAAGATTTCCTGTGTTAGTGGCGAAATGGGTTAAGAGCCAGTGGCTTTCATACAGAGCTGCAAAAGAAAGAGGGGGGGAGCGGGGCATGAAGCTGCCTGCTCGCCACCGTCCCAGGTTAGAAGTTCATCATGATCTCAGCACAAAATGGTGAAAATTACAGAAAGCACAAGTAACCGTCGTTCCGGAAGTCTTTCGAAGTAGGAGTGGGATTAGTGCAATAACGCTTAGCGAGGGATTTGATCCCAGACAGTACTGGCACCAAGAGCGGGTCGTTCTCCTTAATTAAGATGGTCTGGAATGTTCCAGCTTACTTGCAGTTTCATGCAGAGGGAAATCACGGAGGACATATTTGCTTTCAGAAGCATATTGCTCTGACGGTTTTTTTTTTTTTTTTAATCTGGAGAGCTCTGTTCCTGTCTCGGAGACATTTCTGCTCTGCCTTCTGATTTGACCTGTCCTGTAGATTGCCAGCATTCCCAGAATCCACAGGATCCTTCCTCATGGATAGCCTGACTCCAGATTAATAGAGGCTGTTCATGGGGGATGGAAAATGTTCATGTCTACTGTTAACTTCTTCCATGGCCAGCAGTTTAATGCATGTCTCAGTACGCTGGGTGGACTCAGAATGTTATAAGTTCAGAGTCTGTGCTGAAGATTTCCTGTCCCGTGATAAATGGCTTTTGTAAATCCCCTTTGAAACTGGCTAAACACAAACATGTCCCAATTCTCTGTTTTTGTACCTAATTCCTCAATATAAAACCAGAGACGTTCATGACATTTACTAACATCAAAACATTATGGCTCTATGTTTAGTGACGATGCTCCATTTCAAAACCTCATGCAGTGAAACCTTCGTTCAGTGAAAACCTTGGGCAGTGAAAAACTCTCAATTCCTCAGGCAGTGAGATTTTTGGGCAGTGAAAACCTCATCCAGTTAAATCTTCATCTCCTCATCCAGTGAAAACCAATTTCAGTTAATTCATTGGGCAGTGTAAACCTCAGGCAAAGAAAACCTCATCCAGTGAATTTCTTGTCCAGTTAAATCTTTGGGCAGTGAAAGCCTCATTCAGTGGAAACCTCTTTGGTTAAAGTTTCCTAATAATAAGGGAGGACAGCAGAGTTCAGCTTTACAACATAAAACCTTTATTAACTGGTCACATGGAGTAACGGGGAAACCCGACACCACGGAGGGAATACAGCGAAAACACGGGAACCGGGCAATGGCGACATCGCAATGACATGTGACCCTTTCCACCAAAGTCCAGTTACCTCACAATTAAACATGTAAAAAGAGCAAGAGCAATGCCACTGTAGAGCACGTTCAGGGCCGCACTGGGAAAGGCCTCCTAGGCTGTACACTGCACAAGCATGACCCTCCACACATTCAGTGCCGTTCAACCCATTAGGCAACCGACCAGGGCACCATCTTTTGAGGGGGCCCAGACTTAGCCAGTCAATTTCACTTTGTCTCTGACAGTCGGAGCCAGTGGTGAAGCTTGCTTAGTACATCACATGGGCTTTCAAACAGCACTGCACACAAGTGTCTGTCATCCTCCTCCTTACCTACCTTCATCACCACTTCTGGATGAAATAAATATTCACTAAACCAAAATGACATTCAGTTCCCACAATGTGAAGAAGCCCAGGCTTAAACATCCATTACAATGTGGCCACTTCTGAGGTCTGATGTGCTCATGTCCAAAATAATTGACAAAAGAAGTCACATACAAATTATTTATATTTATAAATACATAGAAAAGTAAAATTTTTACTCACTCTCAAATTTACGGAAATACATATGAATGTATATACACAATATATGTATATTTATGCATATACAGCGTATAACTATGTGGGAATAAATATAGTATATAAAATGGCAAACACAATGAATATGAGACATGATTGGGAGCAAATGTACATAGCGACGTATCGCATGTTATTAGCAGACTGAATGTCATAAATAATGATAATGTGCGGAACCAGAAGCAACATATTACTGACATCATTCTTAAGTCCTGTATCGACCACTGACGATTTACAGAATAAAACACATCAAAGCTTCAAACCATCCTGAGCTCTGACTAAAGACCACCAATGGTTAATGTCAACTATGCAAGGGAGGGGACGACACACTGTCCCAGTGGGAGGTGAGGGGGACTGGCCAAACCTGACTGGAGGCAAGGGGGATGGGCCGCAACCCAAGAGAGGGGAGGGGGTTTAAGCTGTGACACAGCGGGAGGCGAAGGAGAAGAGGTGTGACTCGGCGGGAGGCAGGGGCAAGGGGAATGAGACGTGACCTTGCAGGAGGCGAGGGTGACGGAATGAGACCTGGTGGGAGGTGAGGGTGATGGGGATGTGACCCAGCGGGAGGCGAGGGTGACAGGGATGCGACCCAGCGGGACGTGAGGGTAGCAGACTGTGACCAGGCAAGGGGTGATGGGATTTGATCCAGTGGGAGACAAAGGTGATAGGATGTGACCCAGAGGGAGGCAAAGGGCAAGGGGGAATGGGATGTGACCTAGCAGAAGGCGAGGGGGACAAGCAGCAAGAGGCAAGGGGGAGCAAATGGCATGGGAGAATGGGATGTGACCTAGCAGAAGACAAGGGGGACAGCCCATGAGCAGGCAAGGGGGGATGGGATGCGACCCAGCAGGAGGTGAGGGGATGTGACCCAGGGGGAGCACAGGGTGAGGGGATGCAATCCGGTGGGAGGCAAGGGGGACAGGGATGCGACCCAGCAGGAGACAAAAGGCAAGGAGGAATGGGATTTGACCTAGAGGAGAGGGGGACAAGCCACAACCAGGCAAGAGGAAAGGGAGGATGGGATGTGACCCAGTGGGAGGCGAGGGGGACAGAGATGCGACCCGGCGAGAGGCGAGGGTGACGGTGATGCGACCCGGCGGGAGGCGAGGGTGACGGGGATGCGACCCGGCGGGGGTGACGGGGATGCGACCCGGCAGGAGGCGAGGGTGACGGGGATGCGACCCGGCAAGGGTGACAGGGATGCGACCCGGCAAGGGTGACAGGGATGCGACCCGGCGGGAGGCGAGGGTGACGGGGATGCGACCCGGCGGGAGGCGAGGGTGACGGGGATGCGACCCGGCGGGAGGCCAATCACGCCTTAACGAATATCTATTTCATCCATTAGCCTCAAGCCCAGACAGGGCTTTCTGTAATTACTTATTCGTTTTGGGGATCTTTCATTTTGTCATCAGCTCTAAAACATCACAAGCACATCAATTCCCTTCCTCAATCTGCCCCTCGAGAATGGGACAGAAGACCCATCTGTTCTTTCCAGTTAAAGGCCATCCGGTTTCCTTCACTATTTGCAGAAGATGAGATGACATCATTGCTAAACTCAAAGAATCCAGTTCATATGGAGAGAAGTGGAACTAAAACTGCCTAAGTTCTGGCTGCGGTCAGCATAAATGTACGCACGCACCCATATATATATGTATGTACATGAAGATGTACATTCATGTTTTTGTAGGTATGTCTGAATGCGTGTATGGCTGTGTACCTATGTTACAGTACGTACATACATACATACATACATACATACATACATGTGGGCACAGACACACGGTATAAGTGCCAGGGAAGCCCGCAAGGCGTGTCAGGCCAAGGTGACAGTAAGAGCAGGGAAGGCAGGACGCCGGTTATTTACAGCACGCGGGCAGCACACCCCAGTGAAGGAGCGCCCCTTCATCGTATCGCACTCATAACAGTAGCTATTTACAGGGAGTGGCAACGTCAGTCTTGTTGTGGGCGGGGCTTGTGCTTGTGGGAGGGGCAAGCCGTCACCGCTGTCAGTCAGAGAGGATGTGCACAAAGGACATTGGGAACACCCCCTTTCTCTCCGGCTGCCCCTCGATGTGCCCAATCTGTCGGAATAAACATAGCATACATAGCATTATATGTTTTTTAAGTACTGAACAACTGTTAAAAACGCTAAACAAAGAAACACGTAAAGAAAAAAAGCACATTACACATAAACCAAGAGCCCACACTCTGACAGCAGCAGGTGCCCCCCCAGGGGCTTGGGGGGGGCAAGTTGGAGCTGCTCTCTGCTCCTGCTCCTCCAGGGTACACTTACTCACCCACCACTCCTGGTCCTCCTCTCCCGTCACGATGATGACCTCGCCCTCTGTGAAGGTCAGCTCGTCGTCGTTGTCCGCCTGGCAGTCGTAGATGGTCTTCACCCGCCTGGTCTTGTGCTTCCCCTAGAAGGATGCACAGGAAACGGGGTGAACTGCAGCGACCAAACACCACAATTAGATCAGGTGATAACCAGGAGTATAACAGAGCAGGGTTTCCGAACCCGGTCCTCGGTGACCCACAGCCTGTTCACATTTTTGCTTTCTGGGGAGGGAGCAAAAACTTGGAGTGTCTGTGGGTTCCCGAGGTGCAGAATGGGAAACACTGACATAAAGCATGGCAACACTAACCGCGTTGATCTTCCGGGGCAGCGGCACAGGCATCTCCATGGTACCAGTTGGGGTTCCGTTGGTGTCCTCGCTGGGTTGTCTGGATGCTGCCTCCCCCTGCTGGCTGGAAGCTGCCCAATCGGGGGGCTGCAGTTTCGGGGCAGGATCTGCTGGCTGAGGCCTCGGAGGATCAGCCTTAGGGGGCGTATCCACCAGGTGAGGCTTGGGTGGAAGGTCTTTGATCTGGGGTTTTGGGGGCAGGTCTGCCAGCAGGGGCTTCGGGGGCAAGTCGGAGAGCTGGGGTTTCGGGGGCAAGTCGGAGAGCTGGGGTTTTGGGGGCAAGTCGGAGAGCTGGGGTTTTGGGGGCAAGTCGAAGAGCTGGGGCTTCTCAGGTAGATGGGCTTTCTGCGGGGTCTCAGCGGCCTGTGGAAGTTTCTGGAGCCCTTCAGGAGGCTGGCTGGGCTTGTCCACGGAGGGATGGTGGATGGTGTCAATTTTCCGTAGAGCCACTGCAGCAAAAATGGGAGGCAAACCGTTACTTTAGGTTACATTCATCACAATCTCCTTCCTTCACCTGAAACTGGCTGATGGGCCATTATCACTGCATGTGACACTGGTTAGACCCAGAAGGAAAGGGCGTACCTTTCTGAGGTAGCTTGGGTAGAACTCTGGGCCCAAGGGTGGATTTGGTGTTACTGGTACTGATGCTAAAAATGATGAATGACAAAGAGCCGATTATTAGGAGATCAAGGCAACAAGGCAGAAAAGAGAAACCATAGTTACTGAGATGGACACCTACCTTTGCTGATGGGGAATACCCTCAAATTTGCTGGTAAGTGGCACTCTGCTGGCAGGGATGGGAGTAGAGTCATTTCCTGTAGGTGTGAGACCCGGTCAGTTTGTGATTCTGGTTCACCTCTGGCCCATTCCCTGAGCTGGGCTGGGCCAGCACACATGCATGCGGCTGTCATGGCAACAGCTGAGTCATAAATGGAGATGCAGCTCATTTAAATTTGACATGGATCTCACGTAAGGACATGAGCATATTTATGATGAAAAATCATACCACGTATGGGCCTGATTTGACGGTCACAGACAGTGATGAAAATTCACAATGAAAGTGGCACATATTTCACAATGAAATGACACTGATTTTACCACACTTCCATGCACAACACATCACAGGAACACTAACAGCTTATTACAACCCAAAGGCGTGTATCCAAGGTGGGAAATGGGTCTCTATAGGTAATGAACACCAGGAATGGCACATGAAAGCGTGTCAGTGATGAGGAACAGATACCAATGTGTAATATGGAGCCATTAAGATGAGCGATGGCAGGCTGAGCTGTCCATTAGGGGCATCGCACACTGACTGGGGCTCTTCAAAATGGCTTAAGACAAGCACCTCTCATTTCCTGATACAGCCAATCAGAGCAGGGACGTTATTAAACACTTCCTCCGGATGTGATTCTGCATTGGACTGTACTGCGACACTGAACACTGACGTGTTGCGTCACACGAGTGGCAGTTTGGTAGGAATATGAGCAGCCCATCCTGGTGCTCACTCCCCTCGGTCTCTCCCTGGTGCCGGTATGGTTAAGTGAACACTGCAAAGAGGGCTGTACGGACTGGTTCGATGTGGGATAATCCCTTTTCGATTAGATAAAACTTCTCGAAGTACTCACAACACAGCAAAGCACGGCACGCAAAAAGCCACGTTTACGTTTACGGCATTTGGCAGACCCCCTTAGCCAGAGTGACTAGAAGTCTCCATCAGTGAATACTGATACTGGTTCAACAGAACCTGCCATGTTCTATCAGCCATGTTGCTTGGGTGGACTTTGCTTATCAACATGAGAATGGGTTCCTGACGACCTAAAACATATCTTGGGGAAAATGAAGGGAACCGAAATGTCTTATGCAATAATACCATAATACCAGAAAGGGGCTGGACTTAACAATTAGGGCGGGGCCTACTGCACTGTCCACTCCTGCAGGGCAGAGGAACAGCACTGCAGCAAAGTCTCGCCTCTTAGCCCTGTCCGTGCCATGGCAACACTGCACCACTGCACGCCATAAAAGGCCACACGCCCCTCACTTCCTGTTTGCTCTTCCCTTTTTATCCTACTCACCCCCAGGCATCGCACCTCTATCGTGGGGACTGTGAGGTAGCGGGTCAGGTGGTTCAGGTGGGGTACGTTCCTGCCCAGGGGGAGGGGGTGGAGGCCTCTTCTTGGATGGGGTAGCACTGCCCCCTACAGGCAAAGGGCCTGCAGGGATTGAGGAGGGGGAAGTAGCAGAGGGAGCTATGAAGCGATAGACACGACACGGGCTGTGACCGGCGGGGAAGGGGGTCCACACCTCACATGTAGCTAGAAGGAAACAGGGCAGCGGGGCCAGGTCATGTGACAGCAGCCAGACAAGGACGAAAACGGAAAGCAGGGCAGGGCGACTGTGCCCCAGAGGAGCAGCCAGGAAGTGTTTGAAGTGGCGAACTGAAAGTGTGTCAAACGGTTCGCAAACGGGGCACAGAAGTAAGCTCTCTCTTGTGAGAGGTCTCCCCAAGGCAGGGTGTCAACGGGGATCGTTTAATTCAGTCTGGTCCTCCCTACGGCCAGTTTTCACGGGGCTCGTTTAATTCAGTCTGGACCTCCCTACGGCCAGCTTTCACGGGGCTCGTTTAATTCAGTCTGGGAGCCAATCCAGTCCCTGAGGACATCACGTGATCTCAACGACGTCCCTCCGGGCTCAGTTAAGAGCAGGTGTGACGCACAACAAGTACCTGCCCAGATACCCCGGCTGCAGGAGAGCAGTGGGTCACGGGATCAAGGCCCAGAATGGCAAAGCAGAGCAGGACGGGCCCAGGTGTATCTCAGAGAGGCACCCATGGCTCTGGGTCGATGGATGCAGGTAACGGAGAGCTCAGCCAGGTGAGAACAGGTTAGCCGCATGTTCACAAAGAGACGGGTGGGTTTGGGGAGTAAAGTGATATTCACTGCTGATGCAGGGGCGCATGGCGGCCAGAGTGGCGTAGTGTGACGTCGGCGATCCGGAAAAAGGCAGAACTGGGACTGTGAGAGAGGGGGAGACATTCAGGAAAGCGCAGAGAGCACAAAGCAAAACCCCTCCCTCCGTGTCCCTCCCTCTCCGCATGATTGGCTGTCCCACCTGGATATCTGCAAAAAGCAGCATAGGCGGCATTGCGGGGGTCATCTCCACCCTCCCCCACCCCCCCCCCCCCCCCCCCCCCCCCCCCCCCCCCCCCCCCCCCCCCGTCCTCCCAGCTCACTTCAGCCCTACCTCTTTAGACCCACAACCCCAGGAGGAGGGCAGCATGGGGCACACATTCGTAATCAGGGCGCCCACAGGCCTGGAGGTTTCAGCCAGGCAGACACCATACTAACACATGCTGTTTCTGAACTGCTACAGGTAGTCAGACAAACAGCTGAACTGGCTGTGGACCAGCGGTCGCACACTGATGATGCGTTCTCTTTGGCTTCCTTAGCCTGCGTACTCTGTCCTAGCCTTCTGCTAGCTGTGTGTTAACAGCCGTGTCCTAGTTACGTACTGTGTGTGTGTTAGGTTTAGCTATGCAGTTGCTATGTGCTACAGCCGGTTCCATGCTGTGTGTTAGCTGTGTGCTAGCTGCATCCTAGTTTTATGGTAGGTGCGTGCTTGCTGTACGTTAGCTGACTTTTAGCTGCATGTCAGCTGTGCTATATCAGTCTTTAAGCTTTGACATCATGCGCTAGCTGTGTTTTAGTTGTATGTTGCTTGTGTTATCACTGTATGTTAGCTGTGCTGCTTCTCCTAGTTATATGTTAGCCGTGCGCTAGCTGTATGTTAGCTGTGTCGTTGCTGTGTATTAGTTCTGCTATAGCTTTCCCTGACCTTTATATTAGCTGTGTGTTAGCTGTATGTTAACTGTGCTATAGGCGTCTCTCCCACTAACAATTTTTCATTCTAGGACCATTCACTGAACGTTGCGATTAAGATATGGAAACGTTCAAAGTGCCAAGTTTGCCTGATGTTCACAGAATGTTACCCCATTACACAACTACTACTACAACTAATAATATAAAAACTAGAGCTGTCAAAATTAACGGGTTAACACGGATTAATCCATCATCATGATTAATCTGATTTAAATTTTTAACGCAATTAACCCATCTGCAACGCAAAATGACTCAAAATCCCTGAAATGTCTCTGTCAACCTATTTCGGGCAGTTTTAGTGCGTTCCATTTGCCCTGGGAACTTGTATTCCGAGTCGGATTCTGAGTTTTGAAGCTGGAAGTGACGACATGCGCTCCCGTTTCTCGGAGATCCGAGAAATGTCTCGGAGCAGCACAGAGGATCCTGAGTTCAGAATCCAAGATGGCTGCGCCTTTTATCAACAGAAGGGCAAGTTGTAGTTTTATACTGTTTAAGCACTACTTCTCATTTGTGGCTCATTAAATCGGTCGCACACACTGCCGTCCAACTTATCTGTGGACGTGTTGCTGTTTTATACGTAAAGCACCGCAAGTAATGTGTTATCAACTGATATTGCTAACAATGGCAATTAACTGGGCTAGAATCAGATTTCATGATTAGTCGGATTATTTGTCGGATTTACGGTAGTTCAGGCTAATTGTAAGTGAACGAAGATAAAGACCATTTAAACTAAGGTACCTTAAATCCGACAAGTTGTCCGGCTAACCAGAAAATCTTGCTTTTTGATATGGGTCCATGGTATATTGCACTTCTGTGGCAATATAAAGGACATGGCAAAACAGTGGGGATCAAAGGCTGAACGGTGCATTCATAATATATACTTATAGCACTTTTATAAAATGTTTATGATGAAACCAGATTTTTCAACATTAATTGCGTTAAAAGGGTGTTCAGATAATATTTTTTATTGTGCTGACATTGACAGAACCTTGTTAAAATGAAAAACATGGAAGCTGCTTTCAGGTCTCTCATGTTAGGTTCTCTGCCAAGAAATACTGGGAGTGTTCCCTGTTAGCTGGGTCCTAGCTCTATGTTAGCCGTGTGCTAGCTCTATGTTAGCCGTTTGCTAGCTCTATGTTAGCCGTGTGCTAGCTCTATGTTAGCCGTTTGCTAGCTCTATGTTAGCCGTTTGCTAGCTCTATGTTAGCCGTGTGCTAGCTCTATGTTAGCCGTGTGCTAGCTCTATGTTAGCCGTTTGCTAGCTCTATATTAGCTGTGTGTTAGCTAATACGTTAAAGAGGACCGTGCAGACTGAGAGCTGATCAGCTCTCTCACAGCTCAGCTGTCCACTCAGTCATACCTGCAGTAAAATAAGTGGAAAAACCCACAGTGGCACAATACCCACCTTTCCCAGCATTTCTAGGGGGCAGCGGTGGGGCGTCGATGATGGGCGAGATGGGAGAGTCGGTGGAGACACTGTACACCTGGTTGGCGAAGGCGCCGTAGGACAACCGCTGCTTGTCCCGGGGGCCAGAGAAGGCGGACAGGGACAGCTTATCCTGGGGGGACAGGCTGGATGAGTGGCAGAAGCTTTGAGGGCGAGGGGATCGCTCCTTCTTAATGGGGCTGGGCTGCATGGGGACACAAGTTGACAGCTGTCAGTTACACGGGTCAGGAAGCCACACATGTATCGCAAGGGGCTGCGGGAGGCAGCACACACTGCACACTGCATACTGCACACTGCACAGCGACGTGCTGGGGGGGGGGGGGGGGGGGGGGGGGGGGGGCACGGCCGTGGGACAGCCTACCGATCACTGGCGGGAAGGCCGTCTGCCACAAAAGCTCACCACATAGCCGGAGGATGTGAGGAGGTTGGCCACAGGGACAGCACCAGAAAGCAGCCCAGCAGCTTGTGGGGGAGGGATGGCGGGGGCTGAGAGTGTGCGAGCGGGGGGAGGGAGTCCGACGCGGCAGGCTAAGCCCACGCAAGCAGAACGCTGGCTTTTTAAAAGAGGAACTCGTTAAGGCGGCATGTGAGGGGCAGACAAGCGAAAGCGAGATGGATGCAGGGCGGACGGCTCCGGCCTGCGGCACCTGCACGCCCTGCCTGGGGGGGCCCACCTTGTCGTCGAGGTCGTCGTCGCTCTCGTCCATCTCCTCCATCCGCAGGTTCCACTCATATTCCACGTGGACGTGGGGGTTGAACTTCCCAGCACCGGCCTGTACCAGCTTTGGGGGGGGGGGAGAGAGAGATACACAGCAGTCAGGCATTGTATACACACACGCAAGCCACCCGCAACAGCACAGGAAAATGTTCGATACTGGGGGGGGG